TCTACAGGTTATAAGCTCACCGCTCGATTGGCGCAGAGCACGATCGCCACGCATTGTCTCTGACGGTGGGAGGGTACCTCCGGGCGTTCAATGATTTGCTACTGCCAGCCTCAAGCCAGCCAGCCCCTGGTCAAATTGGTGCAAACCCGTCAAATCCCAATACCTTGAAACATATTTGGAACCGATCGGGAAGTCATCATTTCAGGCCGTGGTCGCAGGTGTATCCTACTACGGTCGCAAAACATAAATGAATCGTTCCAGTACCATGAAGGCTGCATGTGAGGGCCGTCAAGCATATCCCAATCTATCTCTGCAATCACATTCCTAAGCTGGATCTGCTCCCCAATGACTTGTGGGTCAGACTATTGAGCCAAAGGCTCCGGATGGAGTTCCTCAAGCAAACCACCGAAGCACAACGATCACCTCGCGTGAGATTGCCCAAGAATGCAATCATATGTCTGCGCGAAGCACTCAGCATCCGGTGCTAGAACGTGCGCACACTACTGGATCAGAACTTCAGCGAGCGCCCGGAGCGACGCACTGCACTGGTCGCAATGGAACTGGCACGCTACCACATCCATATTGCTGCGTTCAGGGAGACGCTGCTCGCTGAGCAAGGTAAATTGCATGAAGCAGGTGCTGGCTACACATTCTACTGGGTGGGCAACGCTGCCTCAACACCACATGAACATGCGGGCGGATTTGAAATATCCGATCGCCTCCATGGCCAGCTCATGGGTGAATCAACAGGCATCAGCGCGCGACTGATGACTGTTCGTCTACGACTCGGAAGAAGTAAATTTATCACCTTAAGCACGTACGGTCCGACCATGTGTTATCCTGATGACAAGCGTGATCAATTCTACACTCAGCTATCCTCCGTGATACGGTCTGTGCCGAGGAGCGACCGAGTATTTCTGATGGGTGATCTCAACGCGCGCGTTGGGCGTGATGCATCGGTTTGGACAGATGTTATCGGTCCGCATGGCATTAGTTCAGCGAATGCGAACGGTGACAGGCTGCTCTCACTGTGTGCCACTCACGGCCTGACAATCACGAACACTCGGTTTGCACTGAGTGCGAGTGATATAGCAACTTGGACGCACTCACGGAGTGGTTACGCTCACCTGCTCGACTATGTCAACGTACGTTGACGTGATATGCATGAAGTGCGCATGCCATGTGTACAGCGTGGAGGTGAGTGTGGCCCTGATCACAAATTAGTGAGGACCAAACTGTACATGTATTTTCGTAAATCAATGTATTGCACTCCCGCCGTGAATCGGAGGAGTAAATTAACCTTCTCACCCTCGGTACTGTGGCGAAAAGTATTGAGTTGAAGAAGGCGATGACTGCACGCCTGTGTAATGTGGAATGCATAGCCACAATGTACGATCTGTGGCACCACAGTCGCGACCAGGTGACAACTGCTGCCGAGGAGACCATCGGGTGCGCAAACTGTAAGTGGCCTGATTGGTTTGATGAGAACAATGCGACGATTGGCGCATAGGTGGCGGGGAAGAATGCAGCATTTGCTGTACATGTGGCAGACCCCAGTGACTTGGGGAAGAATAGTCAGTTTCGCAAACTTCGACGGCGACTGACTCGAGAGCTCCGTCACATTAAATATGCATGGTGGATGGAGAAGGTGCAACAGATGGAATGTTACGCCAAACGCCGCAAACCTAAGGAATTCTGACTTCTTGAAGGCGGTGTATGGACCGGGATTGGAGCCGCTGAGGACGGTGATCGATGGTAGTTCAGGCGCTATTTGCACACAGACTGCAAACATAATGCATCTCTGGCGGAAACATTTTGACTATCTCTTCAACAACCATTCTGAGATCGACTGAACTAAATTGAACGGCCTCAAGCAGCACGATGTGAAGACGAGTCTGGCGGACACGCCGACACTGGATGAGACGCAGAGAGCACTTGCTCAGCTGCGAAACGGCAAATGTGTCGGTATCGACGGGATCCCGCCTGAAGTATTGAAACACGGCGGACCCTCGTTGGTGACTGCGCTGCACCACTTTGTGCAACGCATATGGATTGAGGAGGAGGTGACTCCTGAGCTGAAGGATGCTCTTGTGCTACCACTATAAAAGGGTAAAGGGAGCAAACAATGTTGCACGAAGTATCGTGGCGTCAACTTGTTGACTTGTATGAGCAAGGTGGTTGCCCGAATCCTGCTCACCCGCCTCGTCAGTCAGGTTGTGGAACCTAACGTGGAGGAAAAGCAATGCGGATTCCGTTCGGGTCGCAGCACTATAGATATGGTGTCTGCGGCTCGTCAGTTGCAGGAGAAGTGCAGAGAATGACACCAACCATTGTACTCGATTTTGCTGATTTCACCAAGGCATTTAATACGGCGAACTGCGGTGCATTTGGCTGGTGTTGGGTAAGTTTGGTTGCCCGCGTAAGTTTGTAAGTTTAATTGAAGGTCTGCACAGTGGTATGCGAGCGAGGGTGCAGCTGAGTGGAGAGACCTCGGATGACTTTGCAGTTATCTCTGTTGTGAAGCAAGGTTGTGTCTTAGCTCCTGCCCTGTTTAATATATATCTTCCTGCAATGATGTCCTGTGCTTTTGATGCCACTTGTGTTTATGGTGTATGTGGAGCACCGTATTGATCATCAATTTCTGAACATCCGTCGTTTCAGTGCGAGAATCCTAGTCTGTGAGACAACCATCCGTATGTTGCTGTTTGCTGACGACTGTGCGTTGTTTGCACACAGCGTGCATGGGTTGCAGCATATGACTAGTGCTCTGGCTTCGACAGCGGCTAAATTCGAGCTCACCATCAACACTAGCAAAACTGTGTCTCTTTCAGCCTTTACCGGAGGTGCAATCTTCAATATTGCCGCGAATCAGCATTGGTGCTGAAGTATTGGAAAGCACGCCCAGCTTCTGCTACCTTGGGGTTGTGATTTCGGCTGGCCAGCAGCTACACAGTGAGCTTCGTATCTGCGTCTCAAAGGCAGCGGCGGCATTCGAGAAGCTAGAGTACCGCGTGTGGAACAACCATCAGCTTACCGTTAGCAAGAAGCTGATGGTGTACAAATGCATGCTGCTCTCTGTTCTTCTATTCGGCAGAGAAACGTAGATGATGTACTGACACGTGTACGATATCTCGAACGGTCCCATCAACTGTGCCTGCGATGGATTCTAGGCATTCGTTTGTGCGACAGAGTTGTGGACACGGAGGTGTTGCGACAAAGTGGGATGTATGCAGTGGACTGCATACTCTTGCTGAGACACCTGAGGTGGCTCGGTCATGTGAGCCGTATGGATTCGACGCGGATACCAAATAACTCTTATATGGTCAGCTGAGTGTTGGGAAGCGGCATGTGGGGAAACCAGTTACGTTACCAGGACATGATCAAAGTAAGCCCCTCATGTATTAATCTTGATTGCAGGGTATGGGAATCGAAAGCGGTTGATCGGCGTGCATGGCGCGATCTAACCATGAAGACAATTGCCGAAGTGCGGGAGAAAGACCTCACATGTGCAGAGAAGAAGCGGCAAGTGCGAAAGCGGCAAGCACCGATGGGTTGTACTCCACCGAAATCAAGCGCATGATGTCGTAGCACAAGCGGTCGCGAGTGCCTGAGTCAGCAGGCCTAGTTAGCCATGAGCGAGGCCACTCGGGGCCACTACCGAAGCGACGACGGGTCCTACACAGAACGTAGGCAGAACCGGAGCAGCGTTTGTAGGTACGCTGAATTCGATTTATTTATCGCCTGCTGGCATGCTAAATCGCTTTATCTTAGGTGGTTGGTTAACAGTTTTGTCCTGATGATTTTCTTTCTCATCTCTTCTATAAACTTACACACGTCACTTAAGCCAATGGTAGTTAATTTCGATAAAATTTTCGTGTTTAGTCATTTCCGTAAAATATCCTTTCTGACCTCCTGAACTTATCTGTTATTCGTTTGTAGACAACCTATTTCATATGCTCATTAATTTAAGACTTATGTCATCATTTCCTTATGCATTACTCGATTTATTTTCTTTGTTATCTTTCAAGTGATTGACCGTTGGTTGATAGCCCCGATGTAGCTGCGCTTGCTGTGCGTGTTGACAAAATGCCTACCTGTCTATTACGTACTACATCGTGCATACTGGCTCTAGGATATAGTTGGTCGTTGCTGGAGGGGACGGGGTGCACAGTCCTTGTGGCCGTGTAAGGATCAAACAGTGGTTCCATGCAGTCAGTGTGGATCGGACTACTGTCCAGCCACCGCCTTGTGTGCACTTGATGCCCCAAATACAGCGTGTTTGCGTTTATCTGTGAAGGAGTGTGGGCGGGCTCCGTTGATGAAACGTGGCTCCCATTCACATGCCTCTCCGTCTTATTCCTTCGGATTTACACTGGAGATGGGGTGTATGGTTGGAGCCGTGGGTGGTGCAGCGCAAGCCATCCATGGTCCCTCTGTAGGCGCAGGCGTCCTGTGGCTGGTCACAGTGCCTTGCAAATCCGAAACCGGATGCTGCCAAATATATATATATATATATATATATATATATATATATATATATATATCACTGCAACGTAAGTCACCTACACTATGTTTTCGCATCTGCAACGCGGTTATATTAGCGTCAATCATATGCCGAGGTTGCACCTTATTGAGTAAGTCTTGATATAATCAGGTATTTTCAAGGCTAGCTGCGTCCATGGAGGCCATCAAAGGGCAGAGTTAGGTCGGTAGTGTCTCCTAACAAAACTGGTATTAGTGAGTTGAAACCTTGACTGCTTTGGCGCACGCGACGACCAAGTTAAAAGTTAAACGCTACGTGTTAACATTCCAATACAGCACTTTAAACTGGTTAATATACCATTCAAAGAATTTCAGCAATACGAAATATAGAGACACAAGTTAGCTGAATCCACTTAAAGAACGCTAAAGACAAATAAAGCAACGAGTGGTAAATTTAAATCATGAGTTTCAAGAAGGGCATGATAACATTCACTGTGCACTGAAAATTCGCAACAAAATCATAAATCCAAATTAAAACGATGTAAGATACTTACGCGAAATGCATGGTACATTATTCTGTTGTGGTATCTTTTCAAGGTTTCTTCATATGCCTTCAACAGAATGGTCTTCATACTCTCATTGGAATCCGACTGAGATAAATACCACAGTGCGCAGACTAGGAATTCGTAGGTGCGTTTAAGCCACAACAGCCCAACTGAGCCTGATGAGTCCTCAGTTGATTGGTTTAGGGCTTGTTCAGCGGCCAGCATTTCCTTCAGGGAAGTGACATTAAGGCTGGCGACTGCGTTGGACACTTTCTAAGAAATGAAAACAAGGTTAAGTTTAATTTAGCAATATCATTTGCATGTAGGAATAAGAGACAACGTGAAACGTAAGGTACCCAACATACAGACAGAAATACAAAAAGTGCAATGCACAGTATTATGCTACATGGAAATTTATATCATCTATGAAACGGGCAGCAAGTGGGATTTAGGTGTATCTAAGAAAGCATGACGAGAGCGAAATACACGCATTAATAATATAGATTGAAAAGCCTGTAAATGTTTGTGTCCTTTAGATCCCTGGTAACGCACAACCACTGCTTAGGGATGCAAGTGAATTCCTGTAGGCATAAGCACACAAGGTGTGATAGAAAGGGACGTGCCTTGTAGTGGAGGCACAAAGGTAAAATAAAAGATTCAAAATGAGCAAGCAGAAACAACCTAATGTGTTAAAAAAGTAAGATGTCAAACTCTACGCATAGTGACGCAAAGAACTGTCCGAACAACACAATCGTGCGTCGATTTCTTGTTCGTGATGGGTCTTTGTTAGAAATGCTCTTACAATAAAGTTAAGTCAGATCATTTCCTATCCGAAACAATGCTGTTTAGAATAAATCGGTATGATAACCAAAAACATGTTTTGTATTATTCAATGTTACAACCAGATAGTTTAGTAAAAATGGGACAGGTAACCGCCATCTGAAAGCTTAGGAAAGTAGTAAAATCCTTGTCGCAGGTTTGATTTAATAAGACTGCTAATTCCAGAAATGTTTGCTGAGACAGCAACCGTCGGTTATGCCAAAATCATCACTTATAGTAGCACGGTACTAGATATAAGCAATGGCACCACTAGCCAAAAGCGGCCTGCTGCACGCGGCTTATACTCACTAAGGCACCAACACACGGTAAGTTAGTCATTAAGAAGACAGAAGGGAAGATGGTCAGACTACGGGAAATTTGAAATTTACTAGACCTGTACATATACTACATGTGGGTCTAAAATGTGTCATAGGATATGAAAATAAAATTACTATGGCACAGCAGTGCGCTGCTTGAACATAATGGTTTATACTTAGGAGCTTTTGGGTCGTTTTTCTATTAAAAGTGGCAGCTTCGTAGCAATAACGGTAAACAGATTATAAATAAACAATGGAGAAACAATTAGTAGCCTAACTACCAAACTACACGTCAATCGAAAACCTGACGGTAAATACCAAGTGGCCAATTGTTCATATACCAGGCAGCAAGAATAAAGGCTGGAAGTACGTAATTCAACCGTTTGGCAAAAGAGTGAAATTGATGGTGTTTTAGAATCAAAAACAAAACGTATTTGTTTGGGTAAAGTCACTGACAGGCAATCAAGCGTAATGAAGCTGAGGTCTAATTTAATCATGTTTTGTCAGTAACAAAGCCGGACTGGATTAAATGTTGGCTGAATTTCAAGTGTCGGCCGGTGGTCGAGTGGCCTGCACGTCTGGCTTGCAATCATAAGATCACCGATTCGAATTGACGTAGGGGCGGACGATATACTCACGGTATATTCAGCCCACGCTCGAATGGTGGTGGTCGCGCAGCAGCGAAGCGCCACTACGGCGTGCAGCTGACACCCACAATTTTAAGCAGAAGGCGCCTAGAAAGAATATGCTAAGAAAATATTTTGCAAACATTATTCGAGCCGAGTAAAACAAGCTATCCTGTACAGCAGACTGAGGACATAAGAACTGAGTCAATGAGTTGGGTTGAGATTGAATTTATTTGACGAGTTCCTTTAGTTATCAGAGTTAAAGTAGCATTTGGTGCAGGTAGCCCTTGGGTGAGAAAGGAACCCCTGTTTAATACCAAAACAAGAAAATTAAATACGCTGGTGCTTCGAAATTTGGAAAAGAAAAGGATAAAAGACGTCAAAATAATGAAAGGGTTGGTAGTCTACTGGTGGTCATGTGTGATGCATATTCAGCAAACAGTATAGTCACATAAGTCCGACAGAACACAAAGTAAAGCAGTCTTGCTGGCAAGAACGGACTAGCATTCGTCTCAACACGGAGTGCTGTTAGTCCCAAGCGGAACCAAATTGCAAAACCATAACGTAACATAATGTAATTCAGCGTATCCGCAGCATCACCTGTCCTAACACAGAAGAAATGTATTCATAATAAAACATTGCGCTCACTCAGTACCATTAAAAGTTCCGTTCCGATGACTGTAGGTTTTGCACCAAAAAGAATTGTACAGTGCAAAATTGTAAACAAGCGAAAATAACTCAAAGATCTTCCAGCGAAGTTCGTGGACCAGTACCACATTCATGGAAGAGATGGACTCATCCCTCGTAGATGATGCTTTTGATAAGCCTCTAGACGTTGTTAAAGACCTTACTTACGGAACAGCTTCGAGCGTTAAGGAACATAGTTGTTTGGCATTGACAGGTGATCACTTTAAATAAATGTAGAAACTAAATTTGAAGTTTGAAAATATCGAGAGCTGATTTAGCAGGAAAAAACGTCAAGGCTGTGAATACGAATTGTACTAATTCAGTAAATGATTATATTAAGACAACGCTGTAGTACTTCAACTAGTACCGTAATAAGGTGTATCTTTCCTCTCCCAAGAACTGCGGGAAAATTAGAAAGGCTAAGTCGCTGTGATCTGACTCACTTACGCGTAATTTAATGAAATGATAAACAGTGTTAGCGGGATTTATCTGTCAGGCTCCATCAGATGGTACGTTTTGACGCAATCAAGTCTCATGAAATGTATGTGAACAACACATGCGTGAAGTCAGACTAAAATACGTGTGTTAAGAGAAGATTATTATCATTATTATTGATTATCATTCTCATTAGTATTATTATGGCTGCAATTCTGCTCATAGACATCACGCAAAGGCCTGGTTGCTGGCAGATTAATAGGCGAGAGCAGTCATTAGGGGGTCTGGTATCTCATATTGATTTGGAGACGACTATTCAAACAAATTAGTTGCTGACGGATATATTTGATCCAGAGACCCAGGAACACAGGTCCAAACAGCAGCTATATCTTGCCAAAGTGGCTAGGTGGACTCGATTTACCTCAAGTTACACTAAAATCTAGCAGTTGAGCTGTATGAATGGGCAACGCAACTGTTCGGGAAGGCACTTCTGTTTTCCTTACCTGCTGCTTAGAAGAAGTCAATCGGCGGCCACTTAATCAATAAATGGATAAGTACTTACCTCAGAATTACAGGCCGCTCAGTGTAAAGAGAGTTCTACTCAAATTATTAGAGAATCTAGTAAGAGACGTAAATAAAGCCCACTTAATGACGTCTAGCTTACTTATTTCGTCTCAAAACGGCGTTTGCAAAGGCCGTTTACGTCTAACTAACTTGTTATGTGCTTGAGGATGCTAGGTCAAAGCGGTAGGCAAGGGGCACGCAATTAACGTATTCAGTTACTTTGCAAGTCTTTTGTCCAAACTGCAGCCTGTTCTGTGTTTGACAACAACATTCTGAGAGGGCAGACAATGTTTACCCGGGTAGGTCCGAATCTATTCTGCTAACTATCTGCTGTCACCATGTATCGCAGAGGACTGTCTTGGGTTTATTATTGCTCAACTTTTAGATAAATGACCTACCTTTCTAGCTAGATGTAGGGTCTCTAATGTTTACAGACTATTTTAAGTTCTGGGGTAAGAACGTTGACCCAGAGGGCTCCCAGCATATACAGTGTGCACTAGACCGGCCATGTGACTAGCCGTTCTTTAGCTGCTGCTCGCTGAACAACCTCCTTTAGATACCAACTTGGTGGTTCCGCTGAAGCTCTTTCTATCAAATGGTTTGGCGGCAGTGTTTAAGGTCGTGGTGGGTTTTAACCTGGCAAGCATTCGCCCTGTAAAGGACGACAAATGTCTGTTTAACAACATTGCGACATAGCGAATGTGCCTCATAGGGATCCTGATGCGCCTACCCAATTCACAGACCTCTGTCATCCAATACAAAGATTCGCATTTAACTATTCTCACACCAACGATCCGATCAAACCATCACAAATAAGACGATATATTTACAAATACTAGCAACGCAAACAAACATACCAACAAATTTTCATATACACTCATCACACAGATCAGCATGCCAATGAAAAGATTTTACTGCTAGGTACAATTCCCAGCCAAGAAATTTTGTACCAGAGTTCTCATGCATATGCAAGGTTGTCTCGTATTATCGAAAATATAACGTTAATTATTTAAAAACATTCATTTACTTAACTTCGAATTTGCACATGGGAACGAAGGTCTACGTACGAGTTATTTCGTAAATGGATACAAGAAACCGCATGTGTCTGAGCAGGTTGAGTTGGGGGTCATACTATCAGAAAACTATAAATCTAGTGAAAACCGGACAAAGGTCGCATGCCAAAGTCACGTTTTGTTTTGAATAATTAACCCGTCATTTGGAGCCCTTGCAGGTTATAGATTTTGTAGACCGTATATTGCCTTATACAGGCCTCACTAGGAACACTACGGGTAAGTTTATCTTCAACGCTTAATCTAAAAGAAGAGAACAAAGGAGCGGGTCTTCAGGGTTAGCGCTAAAATGCTGTATTGGTCAAGAAGTATATAGTACCCCGAGTGACTATTAGATTAAGTGTTGTTCGCCGCACTATTAAAGATATATGAAAGACCTGCTCCCTATGTATCGCAGCTTGACGGATGAACCTGACCCGCATTTATTGTTTCTGCTCAACGAAGTCGCCAACCCTCCAAGGGCATCCACAGAAACTGCACAAGTCTCGGCCTGTTCAGTGTAAGACTGAAAGCAGGTTATCACGTAAAGTAATCGTCGCTTGGTGTGTCCGCACGAAATATTGTGTCGGCACCCACGGTAAAAGCGTTCGAGCATCGACTGGACGCGCTTGCAACTAATATCCTCCACTTCACATATTAGCGTTTATTGTAACTTCCCATGTAGAATTTACCGCCCTTCCTTTTTAAGGTGTAGTCTGTATTGTTTGTTATTTTATCTTCAGTTTACTTTTGCCTATTTTTAGTCATTTTGTCTCAACATTAATTGACCGGCGCAATAGGGAATACTAAAGCAGAGCACGTTGGCATTGAACGGCTGATCGTGGTAGGATGTACATGCGCAATTTAACACTCATATATAACGAATAGATTCTCATAAATCCATCCTGAATCAACGGCTCTTTTGCTCCAGAGAATTAGCTGGCCGGGTGTCTGGCTAGCCAAAAAACCCCGTGGTGCTAGCTTCGTGGTTCGGGTCCAATTCGTTCCAGTAAATAGTTCGGCGGCAGTGTTCCAGGACGTGGTGGGTTTTTGTTTGATCAGCATTCTCCTTACAAAAAGCCACAAATGTCTGCTTAACAACACTTTGACGTGGCCGTCGTAATTCGCCACTAAATAAAGTCACTGCCGCGTGAATATCATGAATATACATCTTATACTCGCACATTGACGGCGACATCAACCAGTTAAGAAAATGGCAGCACAATTACAAGCAAGAACCACACACCTACATACATCTAATTACATACGTGTAAACACCCCAACACAAACATACACTGTTAAGGCAAACACATTAGATTTGTGCAAATATTTATGCAACCTTTTTTAGGTTAACATGATCACGCTTGTAAATGCGTGCCTTGCGTTGTCGAGAATAAAAAAATTATTTATTCATTGTTTCTTTCCCTTCTGAACTAGAACTTATTTAAACAGTGATGCGCTGTTGAAATAATACAAGTGACTGACTGATGTCAGCCGGGACGGAACTTGAAGCGCTTAAGGTGATTTACGTTTGTGCTAATAGCCATCCAAGTGCAAACATTTTAGAGATTTCAGTCGCTCAAAAGAAAATCAGTCGAAAATTTGATTCAGTCCCGCGACACATGTGGTGCTTAAAGGATCCAGTTGTGATGAGCGCGAACGATATGTGTGACCAGAAAATTGCATTTAATATACGTGCTTGGGTTATGTTTGCAAAGTTTTGATTGACAGAAATTCGTCTAATTTCTTATTCGTGCGGCAAGAAGCATCTGGATCTACTACTCAGTACCAGTATATCTGTAGCTATTGCGTAAGTATATCAGACCTTCAACGCATAAGTTCCAAAATGTTCCTCAGCTAAACGTACTTAGTGCAAAATTTATTTAAATGGAGTTAGCTTTCATAATTAAAGTACAGTAGCTGCAGATTTATTGCAGCTCCATCATCGCTGTCCAACGATTAATCTGTTACAAGTATTTGTATCTTAGATGAAGCTTGCGCGCAACATTGCTTTACAATTATGCATACAACCGACATATAGTGCAATCAGGCTAAAGTTTTGGTGGTTATGTTGGCACAGACATAAGAGGCAATAGATAAATCATTTCTTATAAGCTTACCTATGAGCTTATAGCAAGAAATTTAACGGTCGCAACCCGGTCGTGCACAGGCATACTCAAGGATTGCAGAAAGTAGTTTGACTGCACTAATGAATATCGTAAAATAACTACTAGCAACCGAGTATAAAGAGCGCAAGGTTATTGCACATAGAAAGCAAGAAAACATTATAAGACCAAGCACATAAAACTAACTTTCATATTTCCATCTACATCGGATTTCACAATATAAAACCGAGTGCCCCAAAGAGCTGAAAGCAAACATTGTTAGTATAAAAATATGGTCAAACCAAAAAACTCCGAAAGAATTCTTGAGTAGATCATAAATGTGTCATAGCTGAAATCACTATAATCATCTATTCTAGGAATTCTTGTAAAAAACGTCACTCGATTTGCAGTGTCCAAAACGGACATCCTTGGACACCGCCGTTTGTTTGAGGTCGCGTCTCTAACGGATCAAAGTAATAAAAGTGTAGACTGCTAGCTCCAATATAAACACATATATTAATAACAATCTGAAATTCTTAAAGCGTTCATTAATGTGAGTTACAAAGCATACAAGTAATAATAAGTCGCAGATATTAATTTTATCTATTGCCATGATGAACCTAATCAGCAACGAAGAAGATGCGATGTATGACCTAGTAATATTTCAACGTGCATCGCTCAGCCTTTATTTGACAACCCTACTTAATATTGTTCATAGGGATGTTATACTACATTAGTTCGTGAACGCGCACTTTTCGGGTCCGTCATTTATTATTACTATTTGTCCACCGCAGCGGGTGCAGAACGATGTTATCTATTACACGAATGAAGGTGCATATTATTGTTTTACTTCCCGGAATAATTTCCTCATGACACTATGGGACATATGGGCAAGCAGGTGACGAGAACTCACAATCGTGGTGACGCCGCAAGTAAATGCCATATTGGGTAGTTGTAATAAGGACAGCAAAATAACTTATAAGGCATGGTAACGGCTATACGACGTTACAGTTAATGAAAAGCTATTAATGCGGTCTAATATGATTGGACGAATGTTGATTAGATACTGATTGATTGAAATCAAAAAATATATCCTTACTGAGGGAATCGTTTTAAATCTTGCTCGATGTATTAACTGATAGCGTTTAAAGCAGGTAAAAGAAAGGTAAGGAACAAAGTAGAAAACCGTATGCAAATGCGTCAAGAAATGTGCAGAGCAGGAATAATCTGACATTTTAAGTTTATGTATGTCTTCAAGCCACGTCAGACAAATCAAATAACTCATTATACAATTTTATGGTGAATATTTCGCTGCAACCTACACATACTAAGTAACCTATTGGAAAATGAACAACTGCACAATAGGTGCATAAGTCGGTTGGATACAGAACGGACAGCCATGCCATCATACTACGACTCGGTTCTTAGGTCTAGGGCGACAGATTTGAGGTCTCGCAGAAAACGCTATGGTAAGTGCTGACTGTCGATCGGTTGACTGGTGTGCGACCTTCCATCACCTTGTACTGCTGGCTAGTAGACGAAGTTGACAGGCATTCAGGTAATACGTTGTTGAACGGATGCCCTGTATTGGCCAGTGTCTCAGATAACAAATTCTTAAATGAATTGATGTATGCAGAAAGAATTGGGCTGATAAAAGTAGGCATTGTAAGGTCGCTGCATCAGTACCAATGCCGTAAGTACCTGAGCATTAACTTAAAAGGCTTATCTACTAGTCCGAACAAGGTCACAGTTTTTCAGTTCATCTAGTGTGGAGGAACACAGCAGGGACAAATCGAATGTTCAACTCACTTTGGACAGCTTAGGCTTTTAGACGAGAGGGGTACAACAAATGTTGGGCAGTACTGAACGTTTTATTTACATTCGTGGCTAAAAATAAATTATATTCATTAGCACACGTAGGTACTTTACTGTAACTACTACTATAACTAATTACGATAACTAGTTTGCGGTCGAAGTACTGGAAGCACACCATATCAGTCAAGATCAGCATTTTACCGTCAAGTATATTTCGCACAAGGCACGTTGCTCTGCATGCATTGTGCTGATGGCTAATAAGTAGAGCAGTTACAACTGGGTAAACTACTGGTGAGGAACCGAAGCAAAAGTGATCTGCAGATGTTCTTTGTTCGTGTGCGTAGTGTAGAGCTCAACCGTAAAGCGCAGTACTTAAAGTGCTGACGGTATTGCAGACATTGTAATGCCTATGTAGTTTGCGTATCCAAAATAGTGACATGTGACTCTGGTCAACTTGCCAAAGCGAGTTTATTGGAGCGGACGTTATTAGATGGCGTGGCACCACCCCCACGTCTCAGTGACGTTACATGGACTTTTGTGACAGGTTAAAGAGTGAAGGCTTTCCAGGAGAAATCCCACCACGTCACGGAATGCTTCCGTCGATACTTTTAAACAGTTAGTTGCAATTGGCAAGCAACTTACAGGCCGATTTTTCACTCGTTTATTCGCAGTGGCACGATGCTCAAATTTCTCCATTGGAAAACCGAATGGGTTAAGCAGGGTCCGCAGTTAGTCCTTGAAGTCAGTTGATGCTGAAAACGATTCATGGACAGTCAGGTGAAGAATTGTGCATATGAGAAATAAGTTCGAGGTAATTGAGGTATAATTGTCCGGGTGGTTACGAATGGCTGTCCGGTTATCCCCTAGATTAGGGCCCTGAAGGTCAAGACGGCCGCTGAATCCTGGTTTGTGCTACTACAATGTCCCTTGTGTCCATTGATCTTTCCATCGCTGTGCTTGTATATGGGTGTACAAGCCATGGACCAGCTAGTTTTCTCAAGTGTGTCTTTGTAGACTAACTTCATCCAATCTCTGGGGAAACTACGATTCCTCAGCCCAAGGTAGCATACGCTGTAAGTACCAGATAAAGTTTCCCAGGTTTCGGAGAAAGAAGCAAGGGCGTGATAGGCCGATAGCTACAGCAAAAGCAGTCTTGCGAGCAAGCAATGCAAAAGCATTACACTATACACGTTTTCACCTTCGACATCCTGCTGGTTAAAGTGCAGCAAATGTTATCCTGAAAGTGTCTTTGTCAATCATGCAACAAAAGCAAGGACTGCATGTGTAGATCACTGTACTATACAGTCAGATCCGGACCTTGGCGCCCGCGGGGGATTGTAAGCCATTGCCTTCAAGAAACAGAATTGGACACTGTATAAATAGCTGCACTTACCTTGCTCCTTTGTGCAACGCCAAGAGTATATTATGGAACTTGTATGCATTACGAGACAGTTGACGTGCATTAGACCAAAAACTACAATCGTTCACATGAGGTTGCGGCCTGTGTGAAAAGTAGGCACTTTACTTAATTTTGGCCCGAACCATTTGTCACATTTTAAATAAATAAATTCCTCCTTAATTCTCGTATTTATCGAGGCACACCAAACCAGGAATGAGCAAAAGTTACAGGCAGTTAGATTTCGTAACCGACATGTTGCTATGTATGTTATCGTCATTGGTCCAAAGTTGTACAAAAAGCGGAAACTGAAGATGTTATCAGGAGGAATATAGTCGACGGTGGATGACTACAATGTGCGTTCAAGTGTGCGCAACGTAAACAGTCAAGGCCATATAAAAGTAGCAAGGACCGTAGATGTCGACAGAGGGTAGCTCTTGGTACTTGTCAATTAACTCATGAAATATGTATGTTCACTTCAGTTGGGTTATTATTGAGCAGACGTAAGCGCAGAAGTGAAGACCGGATTACTCCCTGAAGAACATCGTAACTTGTGCATAGTGGCGAAGAGCACCTGCCACCTGGTCAGGTTAATCTGTGTACGTTCATCAAAATACGCACTAGAAAAATGGACAATGGAGCGATGTATTCCTTGTAGCGATTCACGTTTTACACCGCCGAATGTATTTCCATGGTCAGGGAAGCAAATACAACCTGATATATTTTGCTTTCAAGTGACGACAGTACAGAAGGTATGAGGCAGGCTAATGCTTCCAGAGAGGAAGATGAACTGTGGCAACCTAGCTGAGCGCGGTCATTCGAGCGAGAATGGAGCAGCACCCTTACAATAATGATTCTCACAAGTAACTTAAAGACGCTAGAAGTGCAAGCGTTAGGTCCATCCTTATTGGATACTGAATTCGGCACCAGTGTGCTACCGAGACTTATCAAGTAGTGAGCGATTTTGTGTTGCTGCGTAAACATTGTGTATACATACGTAACATGCCCCGCCAAACGTCCTCACCTCCCGTGCGTGTGAGAGAAAACACCTTTTCCTGCCCGCTAGCTTTACAGGAACTTTAGGCGTTTCAGTACAATTTTCACAGTATTACAGTCGATGGGAGGTAATACTTTCACGGCACCAGGTTTTCGGGACAGGATGGCTCTGGGGTCACAGTAGTACCGAGGTAACGGAACTACTTGTTCAATTCCACTACCTTCTCAGTGAAACAGGGGAAACTGGAGCCACTCGACTGAGCTGTTGCACTTTCATCCACAGCACGTGACAACCGTTGTTCCGAAGAACAGACTGGATACAAGGTGGTTAAGTAGGCGTAGCACCTGATTGGCAGGAACAATAGGTGCGTTTAATGAGAAGCTGCCTTGTTCTTTGCGTGCTTTCTTCCAAAGTCCTGCAGCCGCTTCCGGTGAGGGTATCGAATATATCATGGCGGCCTTGGTTTTTCCCAAACACAGCAGAAGACAAAACAGCAAGATAACTAGTGAAATGTCCCAATACTTAAATACTTAAGAATCAAACAAGAAAATAGATTTTGTTGTTCCAAGCATTCTAGCCTTTGGCTGATATTTTGTGAAGCACACTGCGTCCACCTGAAATTGGAGCATGGCAGCGAATGACATTACGGTGGTTTGTTTTCAACAGCTGACGAGAAAATTTTAGGTTGTCGGGTGATCCGAACGGTCAAACAGAGCCCGGATTCCATTGGATATTCAAAAGACAATTGCAGCATAATTATTGTTGCACAGTGTACATGCTTTTGTCTCAAGCCCAAATGTTGTAACACAAGACATTAACAATGTTCAACTCCACGCCTGTTCTTGCGATCTTCTCCCGGTTGTCCCTCACTTTCCCTCTTCTCTGAGGTCCGGGACTTCTTGGAGATCTGGGATTGAACGGAGGAACAGTTTTGGCCCAAGACGGACGCAACAACCCATATGGACCTACCTGGAGCATGGTAGAACTCCGAAAGGACCGAACTACAATCACCATTACCTTTGTTCAGTATGGAGAACTGGACATATCCTCATACTCCCATATATTATACATCTGAAAAATCTGGACAGCGGAAAAGTTGAACTTTTGCTCACCTGGGCATACAACAAG